TGCACTATTCAGTGCAACCCATGGAACTCGTCCAGTGTTGGTGTGAACTGAGTGCGCACTGGTGCGCACTAACTTTTGCCCAATCGAAAACGCTATATGACACAGTGTTACACTGCTCGACACTGTGGGTGCTTTCCACCTACGACACAAACTGTGACACAGTGTTACACTGTGTCACACAGAGTTAGGGTGCTCCTTGGAACACGTGTGTTTCGATAAAGCCCCAACAGATGGTTCTATAGTCAACTATAACAAATTTTCTACTCGATTTCATTATTCATAGACAAATAAGAAGAACTATATTCAAATTGAAACAATTTCGATAAATGTCAGTATAATATTATTTAACGTAAAATAAATGGTTGATAATTTTATGTAAATCGATATAATAATTAATATAAGGAAACAGAGCATTAACCATACGCTAGATTACATTAGCGTATGTCGTATATTAAAATCAATTCATTTGTTACAGTTTAACCAAACTTTTTGTTTAACCAAACAATTATGTCGATGTGGAAACGGAAGGCGATATTTTGTATGATTGAAACAACAACACAGCTTAGTAGTAGCTCTAGTTCTGCAAGCACTTATTGCGAAGTGGACAGCACTACAACAGACGATAGTTTATATGAAGATGATGGAGATAATACATTATATTTTCCACTAATGCGATACTTATTTTCTGGTTGTAAACGGTATCGTGTGGAACAGTATTTAGAAATTGTGGAATCTTGGACAGAACAAGAATTTAAGGAACACATGCGATTGCCAAGACAAATAGTATTTCTACTTATTGGTAATTATGTACATTTACGTAAATAGTAGTAGTTTCACTCTTATATTCGATATTTATTTACTTTTAATGATAAATATAATTGATCTTACTAATTATTCTATTACAGCTGAATTTGAAACATCTGTGTTTATGCCAAATCATTTGTATGGGAGCAAACCGATTTCAGCAAAGCTGAGTATATTCATATTCCTGTGGTTTATGGCTAATACAGAGCCGATAAGAACAATATCAGATCGGTTTGATATTTCTATTTCCTCTGTATTCCGTATTATACGTCGTGTAATCGCTTGGATTTTGACTAAATTGGATGATGTGATTAAATGGCCGCAACAGCATAACATTTCGACAGTATGCGCAAGGTTTTTTATAAAAAAAGGAATTCGACGTGTTTTAGGAACGATTGATTGTACTCACATCCGTATTCAGAAACCTTTGGTAAACGAGATACCATACTGTAATCGTAAAAAATTTTTTTCCATTCACTTACAAGCTGTCGTTGACTCTGATATGCGATTTACGAACGTATATTGCGGTGAACCTGGATCCTTGCATGATGCTCGTGTATTAAGAAGGTCGACTTTGTATGAAATAGCGAATGAAGATAAAGAAATACTATTTCCTAATAATACATTTGTACTTGGTGATTCTGCGTATCCGTTGTTATCATGGCTTGTTCCACCATTTCGTGACAATGGTCACTTAACACCTCAACAAACAGAATTTAATTCTTTACATTCGTCTACTCGGATGGCAAGTGAAAAAGCATTTGGTATATTAAAAGCACGATTTCGTCGGATAAAATTTTTTTCGGAGTACAGAAATATGGAATTTATTACAAATATAGTAATAGCAGCGTGTATTCTGCACAACCTTTGTATAGATGAAAATGATAATTTTCAAATAAATGAAGAAAATTACGATCATGTAATTATGAATGAAAATATCAATGATGTTCGGATAGATCGCAGGATGCAATTATTTAATGAATTATTTCCTGAAGTGTAAAGTAATATAATTAATTTTAAGTAAGAAATACACAACAAATCTTATTTAATCACAATACTTAACAAAATCTTAACTTACTTAAGATTTATAATGTATTAAACGCTCTAGTAACGCCTGTATATAATAAAAATAAAATAGTTTCAGTTTTGTACGCATATTTTTTGGTTGCAATTATTTTATCACATCAAATGGAACTCTATAAACATTTTTAAATATACGCTCTATAACAATTATAAAAAAATTTTTAATAGAAACAAAACTTATGTAATATAAAAATGTCACATTAATAAACGTTTTCAGTTTTCAGTACTTTCGTTACAATCATCGTAAGCATCCGAATCACTTACAGAGTTGACAACAGACTGTTCTATATTCTCTTTATCTTTTAAAAGTCTGTGTAATAATTTACATTTTTCTCTTTCGATTGCAATTATTTCGTCGTGCTGACGATATTTGGCTTTTAGTTTATTGCTGGCTATCATCTTCTTTACTTCCAATTCTTTTTCTTGCATTTGGAGTTGCCGTTTTTTTAAATTCACCGCTTCTGTTTTTTTCTCTAGAAGTTTAGTAAGCCTAACATCTCGTTGTATTTGTCGGTTTTTTTCACTTTGCAAATGTTCAAGCCATTGTTTTTCCAATTGTAGCTTTGCTTTAGCATTATTGGATCCAGTTCCATGCAGTGGGCGAGCTCTTTTTTCATTCATGCTCGCTTTCGGATTGTTAATTTGTGGTATTCTTGCTTTTAAAACACTTGGATGGCATTCAGCAACAACTGGAACTTCTGACTGTATTTCTATAGTTTTAGTTTTCAAAACTGGATTAATTGTAGTTTTTTTTGGAAGGTTAGATGACCGAGTATAACCATTAATAGAGAAAGCCTCTTTGTCCTTGCCAAAAATCTCCTCCATTTGATCATAATACTCAAATGATATTGGGTTTCTTCCCGATTTTGCATTATTATCAACACATTCTTTATATTTTTTTATAAGTGTATTTATTTTCCACCTGACTTGATCACTCGACATCTGTTAGGAACAAATGAAAATTTATAAATTATAATATATATATATATAACAAAAATTTTTGTCTTATAACAAAAAATGGAAATAAAAAATATAAAACAACCAACAATCACGAATCAATAAATGTAGTCAATTTTAATAACAAAACTTGGTAGCTCTACTCAACTTTAAACATATCTACATGTTGTCACAGTCGAACGATAGAATTGAGATGAATAACACCATTTGCTTGGTTGATATCAAATAAGATTTTATAACATTTATGTTAATGCATAGCTGTGATTTTTTATTTATCGAGTTATGACTTTGATGACGATGCATGGGGAAATCATTGTTGGTTTAAAGTTCCTAAGGACACAGTTAACGATACATGTGAGTGACAATTGTTATTAATACAGGATGAATAATTTAAATTGAACTACCTATTTAATTTTGTATAAATTGTCCATATACAGTTAACAAGGTAATTAGATGTACGATATATTGTGAGATGTTGACTGTTGATCCATGCTGTAAGAAGGATTTGATCTACAATTTGTTAAGATTATTGAGATGTACTGAAGAGGATCTAAACCGAGATCGAAACGTCTACGGAATCATGTAATTGGATTTACCAAGTTGGAATAAATTGCACAAGTAAAAACCAGTGTTGGCTTGTATAGGCTTATTTTCACATTAATTCTTGTTAGTGAATTTCATTAATTGTCTTGATTTATTTCGATTGAGCCTTTGTATGTGTATATATTTTATTTATAAAATATTTAAAAAATACAAAACATAAAAAACTATTATTACCTCAACATCAAATTGCTTTAAACCATCTGATATAGCGGTCCACACTTTGGTTTTCTTTTTTGGATTATCCAGCATATGCAGATTTGCCTCGTACAAACTAAGAACTGCCAGTGTTGAGTGTTTATTCCACACAGCATCTGTGTATAACAAATCCTATCAGTAATTATTTACAATATTTATTTTGATATTATTCATATAAAACAGCAATTAAAGCAAGAGAAATATTTAGAAAAAATGTACTCTGTGGTAACAGGAAAAACAATGTAACATACTTGATTTTTTGGTGTCGTTTTTTTCTGATAGCATCATTTCATTTTCTAACGGATTATCTTCACTTATCATATAACATTGATTATTGTCAGCATCTTCTATTTTAAAAAGTGTTTGGTTCGCATCCATAAAAACATCTTTTCCAATAAAACATCTATGTTGTGGAACCACATCAAATGACTCAATCATTTCCTTGCAATGTTTGCAAATAAGACTATCTGTAATTCGTACAATTATAAATATCACTAATTTACCATTTTAATATATACAATTAGCCTAAATAAATTATTAAATAAATACAATACAAAATTATTGTTTGTTTAAATACGGTTGAATGTAAATCGTAATATTAAATATTTGTTTATTACCGTTTGCTCTTGAGAATGTGTTGCTAAAAACATTGGTTGATGATTCTGTTGGAATTTGGCTACAAACAATGGCAGATGATTCTGTTGGAACTTCCACCGGTGTACTTGAAAAACGACCATAAGTATTAAAAATAGGATATATTGAAATGAATAACAAGTTTGGTATGACACGTCGCTCGAAACTGTCAATGATAAACTTGCCAGATAAAATTACTTATTACTTACTAATCTATATCATCTATTGATTTCCACAGGAATTTTATTTTCTCTTTTCGATTTGTTTCCATATTTGAAACGAATTTGTAAAATTCATTATCAAACTCTACATTAACATTAAAATTATTTGTAATTATATTATACAATGCGTTGTATATACATATAATATTTGCATATTATAGTACAGTTCTTTCTACTTACTTTTTAATCGTACGTAAGTACTTGTTTTTAAATCCGAAATTTCAATCGGATCATTGTCGTTAATTCTAAACCACATCTTGAATCTTCTCTGATCTTCACCTTCTACAAATAATAAAAAATATTGATAAATTATGAGAAAACATGCTGCTAGTGTGAATAGATATAAATATAATGGAATAAAAATCTTACTCCTTTCGCTAGCCATGTCACTAAAATGAAAATATTGGGTGCTTTCCACCTACGACACAAATCTAACGTACTGTAAAATCCAATAAGTATTCCTCTTCTCACCATCTACGAGCTATTTATGGTTATGTTACTTTTAAGTTTAACCTGATGTCCCTACAAAACACGCTATTATTTTTTCAATGGTTGGTACTTCTAGCGACACAGCACGGTAAAACTCATCTTTTCGCCGTGTCGAGTAGTGTGACACCGTGTCGTTGCTGGAACGCTCAAAACCGAACACTGTGTAACACAGTGTCGCCTGTGTCGATAGGTGGAAAGCACCCTGTAAAAAGTTAAGTACGAGCGTGTAGAGTATGTCAGTATTACCAACTTTTCAAGAAATTTTATATTTAACGTGTGACAACATGTGGCGTGTGGAAATTATGGGATTTATTTCTAGCATGAATATAAAGGCCTAAACACAATGCCAGGCAATAGCGATAGTATAGCGATAGGAATAATATAGAAATAAGAGATACATAAACTATCGCCTCCCGTTGCACAATGCGGCGAAAGAAATAAAAACCAACCAATCAGATCGCGTACATACTGTAGTATGCTCTTCTGCTTCAGTAGACGTAACCTAAAAATGTTAAATCATTACAGGACACGAGTCACCAATCACTAAATTTCTTTAAGGACATTGTCTTTCAATTTGGTATTTCTATAATCTTTTAAATATTTATCATACAGATAAGGACGACTTCGTATAAGATCGATTAAAAGTTCGTCGCCGAATTTTTCATTATTGCTCGC